AAGAAAGAAAGAAAGAAAGAAAGAAAGAAAGAAAGAAAGAAAGAAAGAAAGAAAGAAAAAAGGAGAGAATAGGAAGAAAGAAAAAAAAAGAATAGGAAGAAGGAAAAGAAGAAAGAGAGACAGTAGAAATTACATAATGATGATCAAGTTGTCCCTTATCATGAATGGTATATACCTTTCCAAAGGCATTTGACTAATACAATGTATGATGGAGTTAAAGATGTACAAGCTTTTGCAAACTGAATAAAAATTGTTAATTTTTAGGTATCATAACTCGTACATATGATTTTTACATATGTGAGGAGAACATTTGAGATTTTTGTTTCTGTGTATGTTCCTGTAAAGACTTAGAAAGGGACAATGATTTCCGATATCACCTAAGTTTATTCAGAACAATAGACACTAAAATGAAACTCTATTGATTTAATAATCAATTAATATACTTTATAAAACTGTGAGATTGGCAGATCTGAAAATAAATAATGGTTTCAGTTCTATCATTGAATACAGCTACTATAATAATGGAAGTAGCTTTCTTGGGAGTTGTCAAACTATTTTCTGCAATTTAGTAGTGTGAACATTTCCCTGGTTTTGCAACTGAACTGAAAATTTCTAAAATTGGGGCTGATTTATTGTTCCTACTATTAATTTTCTTTAGAAGTTTGTGACATTTATTAGGTAGAAATATTTACAAGTACTAGCTTGAAAACTTTCAGAAAGCGTCAAAATAGAAGTGTATACTCACCCACAGTTTTCACTCTTTTTTTTAAATGAGGATACATGACCTTAAAAAATGATTAAATACATTTATGTCCCAATGACTTACAAAACATTTTTGAGTCTTTTCAGTGATTATTCATAACTACTAAACAAAAGAATGGGAAACCTTTAGCCAAAGGATATTGGTTATCTCGATTGTGAAGGAAATCTTCAGGTTATTTGGATAATATTTTGCCTTTAAATAACAAAACTTATGTGCTAAGGAAGCAGTTTACTCACTGATACACAGGAAATTGTGCTACTTCTTATCTGCACACATTCATTCTATGATAAAGGGAAGTTTCTATTCAATAAAAACTTTTAATATTGTATCAATACAGAAAGGTACAGAAAAGGTACAGAAAAGTAGGTGTCTACTTCCTCATAAAAGGCCCAAGGGCCTCACCCTCTAGTTGTTACATCTGGAGTGCTATGAATTCTAACTCAGAACATGAATGTAACTTTTTAAATAATAGATGTGAGAATGAAATTTTTACATCTAATTTCATTATTTCATCTGTAAAGCATAAATCTGTTATTGCCCATGCCTACAGGTTTCACCCAACATACACAACAATGGGAACTTCAGGAAATCAGTACAAAAAATGGCTTACCTAAAATTTCAGTGTAAAATTGACTCCACTTCTTCTCATTAAATGTCTGAAACCAGAAGTCAAAATACAGCAAGTGCAGCATATTTTTTACCCTCTCCATGAAAGTCATTTGACCGCTTAGTCTTGACAGAATAACAGGTACATAAGAAGGAGGAAACAGAAGGCCTGCATTGTACTTTTCGTATGTGTAGCCAGGAGAGAAGCGGAGGGTGTACACTAAAGGAATTTTCAGTAGTTCAGCCATCAGGTCCCCACCAGGAAACATGGCATCTGCAAGAAGGACGTCAAATTTTGATTCTTGTAGTTTTGTCAGAAGTTTCTTGTTCAGAACTGCACCTTTAGTAATGTTATAATAAACATCAGAAAGTTCCCAGAACATGCTTTGTAGTATGGGAAGATATGTCCAGTGGGTATCCATTTGTCCATTAACTGTCCAGTTATCAAACATTTGCTGAAAAAAAATCATTACTTCTTCTATACCAGAAGATGTAGGAAAAGTTTCAAATTTTATATCAGATGGACTGTTGAAATTAAGAAAAACAGCAGATGAAGGTCTGAGGACTGTCACCTCATGGCCCCGCTGTACAAGTTCAGTGAGGATCACCTGTATATTCAACCAGTGGCTAAACTCCATGGGCCACACCAGCACCTTCCCACAGCTCCCAGCACTAAAGTAACTGCACAAATGGAGCAGCAGCAGAATTCTCTTCATTATCCTCGACATCTTGGTAAAGCTGAGCGCTTCCTGTCATAGTACTCTGCTTGCTGTAATTACTAGTGATGCTTACTAGTATTTATTTAACGTGAACCAAGAAGTTAAAGTATAACTTTCACTGATCAATGTCCTAGTAAATTTCCTCATTGCTGAGGCAACACATAAAACCCAAAGTTCAAGTGAAAGTGTTTGTGTGGCTCACAGTTTGTCGAAATTTTAGTCCATAATCTTGTGGCTCGGAGGCATGTTGGCTTCACAGAGGAGCACTGCA